TAAAAAAAAAAATATTTGAATTTTGAAATAGATACGGCTAAAATTTTTGTACTAAAATATTCGTAGTTAATTTTTTTTAGCACTAAAAATTTTAAATATCACATTTTCACCAGAGTTTTAAATATTTCATATACACACATACATACATATGTATATACAATGAGAAAAACAATCTGAGTTTTGTGATAAATTTTTTGTACTAATTTTTACTTTTATAATAATACTTTTGTCTTTACTAAAAATTTTGTGCTACAATTATTGTACAAAAAAGCTGTTTTGTGCTAAGAAGTCTGTACTAAATATGTTGTGCTAATTTTTCTACTGATTTGAATACTTTTGTCTGTACAAACAGTTTTGTCACAAAATATTGTATAAAAAATTTGTTTTGTGCCAAAACGTCTGTACTAAAAATTTTGTACTAAAAAATACAAACGTTTTCGGGCCAAAATTATTAGAAAAATAAAGAAAAAGATGTTTTGTTCTAAAAGTTTCGTACTAAAAAGTCGGTATTTTTTTAGTACTAAAAATTTTGCATAGCATTTCTTATTAATTAATTAATTTGAAACAGTATGTCAAATACATTGAGAAATAAAAATCAGAATTTCGAAATAGTTTTGTGTAAATTTTTCGGTACTAAAAAGACTGTACTAAAATTTCTGTGTCAAAATTATTTTGTACTAAAAAGACAGTACTTAAAATTTTGTACTAAATTTGTCTTATTACTAAGTGTGAGGTTCCAAATTAGCTTTAGAATTAAATATAAAAAACTCTAGCGCCTAGAAGCATGCCAAACCTACCCATTATATAAGTACCCACGCGCTGCCACGGCTTGTCGTAGAGAAAGTCGAATGATTCAAATGGATTGGCCACTTTGTGTGTATAACGGTAATGCAGTGAAATTATGCCCGATATGCCCCAAGAGCTCAGCAAAAATGCGCAGACAATGATTGCCGTCGTTTTGAAGTACCTAAAAATAATACACCGACATACATACAATTAAATATTTAAAAAAATTTAAATTCAACACGCTTGTACTCACCTCGTGGAGAGCACCAACAAGAGCGAAGCCATCACAAAGAATTGCATATCATTAGCCATATACCAACTCCAGATCATGCAAATCTCACTGAGCGGGTAGAAATTATTGATGTAGAGTATATTGCGCCACCAATAGCTGCTGCAAGTGTCGGCGGCAACATTCGGCTGGAAGACGGAGTTGTTGAAAGTTTGGCTGCAAATAAAGTGAGGTGGTTTTGAGAAGAAGAACGATTAGAAAACCACTTTTCAAATGATTTTGTGTTCAAAAATAAGCCCAAGGTTAATAAAATGAATATTTTTGCTATACAATCCTAAATGTATGGTTCATTTTGAACAATTATTGCATTATAAACATTTTGAGTCTGCAGGCTAGTAAAGAAAGTTAAAGTTTGAGTGGAATTACAGTTGTTTTTTTTTTTTTAATTTTACTTGAATTGCTTACAGCAGCCGAAATGTAGGCAATATGAAATCATTTCACGCCCTCATAAGCATTCTCTTCTAATTATGACCTTGCCATAACAACTACTCATCAATATTATTGATTTGCATAATGCTTCTTAAAGCTAACTAAAGTTTTGCACATGCATTATTGATTTCATTTTGTAATTCTCATAAGCATAGCTTCCGGCGTTCTAGAAATTATTCAGTTTGTATGCACAAGCAAGCTTTACGCAAGACTGTGCTTGTGCGTGTACACATATTAATTGAAAATATCCTAATTGATTATCAGTTTTGCAGCATTATTGTTGCATGCCACCAGGCGCTTAAACACAACAATTACGAAATCAATCGTTTTAATGCAGTAATTGAAGCGTAACAAGCATCTCAAATATTTTGCAGAAGAAGCAAGTGGTGGTGTTATGAAATATGTGCACTTTTATTGCATAATTTTAGGCTGTGGAATGCTGATTGTATCTCTGAAGAGCCAAATCATTAAAGCGGCTTTACTTACTTTCATCGTTTGAGTATTGGTTTTAATTATATGAACAAATATTAGCAAAAAAGTATTCTAACATACATACTTTTAAACTGAAATTAATATAAAATGAAGGAATGGGGAAAGTTCATAAATATGTTTTTAAATAATAATTAAATGAAAGCAATTTTGATATTAATTAGAAATATTCCAGAAATATAAGCTAAATTTTGGATTTTAATTGATATCAAGCATTTATGTAGCATACTTTTGCGCTTAAAATATTCAAAAGGTAAATAGAAGTTACTAAGGATAATAGAAAATGGTCACCAATATGAATTCTTGTGTGAATAATGCTTCTAAAATGTAAAATAAGTTAAAAAAAAGTTTTAAAACGCGGATTAAAAATTATTTTTAGCATACCTTTGGGCTGAAAATCATTAGAACTTCAAAATATCATAATTAAGCTAAGCACAAAATAATGGTGTAGCAATTTCAAATATGAAAGTAATAAAATTTCGATTTTATTAATTTTTATAGCATACTTTTGAGTTCAAAATGTTGAATGAATTCAGCGGTAGTGGCAGAAAATGGGTTATATATAATGTATTTATGGTTCTCTAGTTCTAAAAATCGTTAAAAACTGAAAACGCCTGGCTTAAAAAGAAATTGTTTAGCATACTTTTAGGCTGAATTTTTTAAAACCCAAAAATAAGTTATACAAAGTCAACGCGATGTCTAAAAAATGTGCAAAATCAAGCGAAATAAAGCTTTAAGTATCTGAAAAATTGCGTTGCATACTTCTAGGCGACTTTTTTTCATATTTCCACATTCGTTAGTAGTTTAAGTCATATAAATACTAACACACAATTTACCGACTCAAAAACATGCAAGAATCCAACTTTTAAGTGTTGCATAGTTTTAGGGGACTAAGCACTTGTATCACTTACCGCAAGGCGAAATCGTTAAAGAGTATTACAAACAAATATGCTGGTGTCAAGCGTATATAACGGTAAAGCAATACGAAACCAGTCTCTTTCATGCTGTGCCGCAAAAATTGGCCAGTGTCATCCGGATACTTTTTCTCCTGCTTCAAAAAGATTAGCGTGAGCAGGAAGCCGCTGATGAAGAAGAATGTATCAACGGAAAAAGTGGCGTTACCCACAAACTGATACCAAATTGAGCGTTCGACGATGTTGCGTTGAAACTGTGGGCACAAAAAAAAAAAAACAAATGAAACGAAAGTTCTTAGCAAAGTGAAATAAAAATATATCGAGGAAGAAGTGATGGAGGGAGAGTGAGGGAGTACGGGAAAGTAAAGCAAGTTCTCAGAATTTCCTAAAACAAAGTTATGAAAACGTAAGAGGGATTTACAGATTTATATGGAGTGTGGGTGTGCGTAAGCATTTCTCAGTTAAGTTGAAGAAATTACTGTGTGCGTGTGTATTTGTATCGGTGGCTGTGTTAGTGTGGGTTATGTGTTTTGCTAACTTAAGTGCTTGTAAGTAAAATATTTACTCTATTTTCACCGATGGTAAACATTTGCAAATACGTATGCACCATTATCGTCCACAACACGGAGAAGACACGCAGGCCATGTACGCAAGAGGTTTGTTGCTAAGCATGAGAAAAAGAGCAAAAAAAAAAAGAAATAAAAATAATGAAAATTAAATATACAAAGGGAAAACAAATTTACCAAAAGCCATGCTATTATTGCAAACTTTTACAATAGACTGTGCAGCATCTAACAGGCATAAGTCAATAAACAAAAGCCTGCTGGAGTTTTACTCTAATGCCTTTGAAAGTTCCGAAATATTATGAGTTATTTATGCCTTAAAGCCTTTTCATTGCTTGTTCGCTTTCAACGTAATTTTTCTGCGATTTTCGGCTCAGAAGCTCACTTTTACTGCCACTGAGAGGCAGAATGCTTAAATAACTTTTTTTTGATCAAATTATGCTTTATGCGCGGTATATAGATAAATATTTATATATTTCCTAAACTTTCTTAGGGAACACTTCTTATAAATAAAAATATTTACTTATTTCTTAAATTTCCTCGCAGGGGAAATTTTAAAATTGAAGTTTTTTTTACTAAAGGTTGAGAAAAAACAACGTAACGTAACTTTAAAATGAAAATGTTGTTTATTTAATCMAATAATTCCCTGAAGGAAAATTTCGGGGAAATTTTACAATTAATAATTTTCTTGGGAAGAACTTATTATGAGGAAATTTGCAGTTTTTTATAAAAGGTTGAGCAGAAACGTTGCAGTGCTACTTTAAAATGAAAATGAAGTTGTCTTAAAAAATTTCCCCGAAAGGAAATTTTAGGGAAATTTTGAAATTAAACCCTTTCGTAGGAAGCACTTATTTAAAATTGAAATTTTGTATACATGATTCGGCAGAAACAACTCAATGCTACTTTAAAATGAAAATTTAGTTGTTTTAGGGAAATTTTGAAATTTTGAATTTCTACAGTTAAATAGCAATTTTTAAAAATTTCTTCGAAAATTTTTTTGCCATTTTTGCTTTAAATTTCTAATTTTCACCTCGCCTTTAAATCTGCACACAATTCTCCTATCAACTACAACTAAATGTGCACATCAAAGTTTCAACTTCTCAACAACTTCCACATCTTCCAACAAAATCAGCTTACCTCTTTGTTCTCGGTCATATTTAGTATGGTGCCGGCGTTCGTTTGAAATGCAAAACACAGTAGAAGCTGTTCATGTAAACCTGCAATGCACAAGCACAACATTTTGATTGTAAACTGCAAAGTTCTGCGAACAAGACCCTCCATACATGCAAACATCATAAGTACTTACTCAATTGCTTCTTCGCTTCATACGTGCTGCTCGCACCCACACTGCTGCTCGTCTCCAGCCGATAGTCGGCCAAATTTGATTTTCCAACCTCCGAAGCTGACAATGAGCCGTGCGGGCGACGCACGCTACCACCGTTGCTACTACCGCTGCCACCAGCGCCATTTGTGGATGCTGCAGCTGCGGCGCTGCCATTGCTATGCCCATTGGCATGTCCAGCACTAGTACCGTTGTTCGCCATTTTATTGCCATTTACGTCGGCCTCAATGTCAAGCACATTGTTGTTCTCGTTCAGCGTGCTCATCTGATAGACTTCGAAGGCCGGCATTTGGTGGCCTCTCCTCGATTTAACGCTACCACTATTTGAGACATTGCTGGTGTAGGTACCCGCAGCGCCGGCATCCAGCGTCACAATGCCACCTGCGGCTGTGGCAGCAATGACGGCATCAATTTTCGCGCTTATGGCTGGTATGTGAGGCGAGGTGAGCTGCAGTTGACTCAATTTCGACTGATACCAAGTGGCAGTGATGACGAGCAGCAACAACGTCAACATGAAACTTCTGGAAAAATCGAAATCAACGAGTTTTGTTAATTTCCTATAAATTTTTAATTTACAATATATGTTATGCAATTTTTTGAAGGCAAAAACTCACAGAAATATTTGAAATTTCAGCTCACGCCAGTAGCTAAATAAGCCGGGTACCGGGCGCACATGCAATACTTGTATTATCGTATGGTTATTGCTGCTGCTAGTGTTGTTACTATTGTTGTTGCTTTTGTGGCCGATGCTTTGATTGTGTTGTGCATGCATGGCAGCTGCGGTGTTTAATGTGACTAGCATTTGGGCATGCGGGTCTAATGTGAGTATGGCTTGCACGTCATGTGCGCTGCAGGAGCGCGGCAGGCATTCGCCCAATTGAAGGTTGACGTTCTGGTTTGAAAAATGTCGTGTAGGAAACATTAATTTATAAAAAAATTTTATTTTTGAAACGCGTTTAAAAAATTTTCCTTAAAGGGATATTTGAAAATTAACAACTTTTCTATGAAGTTTAAAAAATAACTTTTTCAGCACCTTTAATGAAACGTAATGTAGCTAACGGCCCAAACTTCCCTCAAGGGATATTTTAAAAATAATTTTTTTGTAGAATATATTTCATTTAGATTCTTCCCATTGCAGCTTACGTAAATACAAAAGAATTAGAAAATTTCCCGTCAAGGGATATTTGAAACTGTGCATACATATGAATGTACTATATAAACATATGTATGTAGTAAGTTTTTTATTTAATTACCGCTTTTATATCTTTTTCAAAGATTTGAGGATGAGTATGTTATAAGAAAAAGGCTTTCCCTAATTAAACTAAGTAAACATACATACACACGTTGTTACAGTACATCAAATACACCAGAATATAGCTCATTTATAAAATTTCCCGATTTGGATATTTTCTAAACCTACTCTGTGGGCGAAGTTTATACGACAAAGAAAATTTTTCTTTAAATTTAAGCAAATATACTTTGTTTGGAAAATCTCCCTTAAGGGATATTTTACAAAATGTAGTATTTTATATGAAACTTTCTAAACCCACTCACATATGTATGCTAAAATATAACCACTTTCTACAATAACCCACAAAGGGATATTTGTGAAATGAGTGAAGTATGACAATTGGATTATTTTTTTTTATATAAAAAATAAATTTCTAAAGCTACAAAAACGAGTATTTTAATTTCCCTACCTAAAGTTGTGCAAAATATTTTGTAATCGTCCTTTACCAGTACAAGTTCAACCAACTCACCAATGCCTGTGGCATCCACAAGCGTAAGGCCACCAGTGCTGCATAAAATTCAAATTCGAAATGTTTACGCTCATCCGGATTTAATTGACGATTTAGTTCATAGCAAAAGTTCTTCTGACCCAGCCACTTGTCATTGCCAAAGAATAACTGTCCACGGTAACGACCGGAGGCATCGTAAGCTGCAAAAGAGCAATTTCAATGGAGAAACAGTGATTAAAAGAGGTGTTAAAAAAGATAATAACAATAAAAACGTAAAAATAAGGAAAAAAATTAAGAGAATGAAAATTGTAAGCTTCTCCTTTCTTCTTTTCACTTTTTTCGTATTTTATCGCTTAATTTCGCGCGCTTGTTGTTAATGAAATTCATACATTTCTCCGTCCGCTTGTTTGTCCTAACGGTGGCAACAAAGTAAACAGTTACTGGAAATTGCAGATTTCACTGCGACTAAATAAGTGCAATTTTATTACCAGCAAGCAACATAGACGGACACTCCCTCTCGGCCAGAGTGTGTGCATGAAATTGGTCTGAAGTAAAGTTAATTTTGTTATTGCCACAGTAAAACGGTAAATTGATTGTTAAATTGTAAACGCTTGAGGGCGAAGAGGTATGGAACAGTTGAGAGTAGACGCGGAAAGGGTAAAGAGCAAATTGTAGGAGAGGGAGCATGTACTGTAAAATTAAGTCATTATGGAGAAGAGCAACTATAGCGTTACTAATGTAACGGTACTTTAAACGTCCATACCTCTGGGTTCCTTTCGAGAAATATGTAACCTATTGACTCTGATTTCTTTTATTAACTCTCTGCGATAGAAATGAAGTCCACAGGCTGAGAATATTATAATCCAATATATTATAGAATGTTGAAAATTGTATTCCATTGAGACCAGATATGAGCCAAGATCAAATGAAGATCAAGTTTAAGGCTTTCGGTATTAGGGTTTTTCATTTTTATATTAAAAACACAATCAGCCTTAATATACTGCGCTTTGGAACGTGAATTTTATGGACGAGTCCCAAGAAAATCGTATGGGAGACTTTCTCTCCCTTCTGGGGTCCACCAGCTTTTGGCTAAAACTTATGCTATCTTCCCGAGTTATCGAGTCGTCAACTCGGGAACTTCTCACTTGTTAATATCTATTCGCTCGCTATATCACTCGTTTTGATTCCCTCATGAATATATATCAAGATTTCAGCTCAGGGAATTATAATTGCGGAAGGGCGATTAACTATTTTGAGAAAAATTTTTTTATCTTCTTGGGCCCCCATACATACCAACTTTACTTCTACTACCTTCCCTTCCAATTTCCTCTTCCCTTGGCTAACTGATTCTCATACTCAAAAACTGAATACAGGAATACTCATTATTTATTTATTTTCGCAATGGACAATCATTAAATACTCATCAATCATGCAACAATGACTGCCGTCCTTTGATTTATAAATTACACGTACACGCCACAACCGGCATTATCGCGTAATATTCAAATCTCATTTCATTAGCACACAGCCTTTAGCTTTTACAGCTATTTTGGAAAATTACAGGCATTGTTTATTATTCGTTCGCTTGATTGAATTACAAACTGGTGCCTGTTGCCTACTAAGCGCTGACCTCATAGTAGAAATCGCAATACCGATTTGCGATTTAGATATTTTGAAAATCACTTCGGGACTGTTTCGGTACTTAATGTTTAACTGTTATTATGTTTTATTCGTAATACATTGATATTGCTATGAGAGGTGGATTCTGGGAATCCCGTTTACAATTCGGGTAATTAAAATGGTATTTTTAACACATATTGTTTTCATATCATTTACAATGAGACTTTAACTAAAAATTACGAAATTCATAAAACGGGATTCCGTCCATATTTCGGGATTGGTAATTATAATAGCCTTTTTAACATTCCATGTTTTCATATCATTTATAACCACATTTTGACTCAAAATCCCTAAATTCATCAAACGAGATCCCTTAATATTTCGGGATTGGTAATTACCATACTTAGTATTTTAAACATGTAATGTTGTCATATCTAAAACCAGCTTTTAATTAAAAATTCCGAAATTCATAAAACGGGATCCCGTAATTATTTCGGGATTTCAAATAGTTCCTAAAAAGGACACCCGCACGCATATTTCCAGCGTAATTATACAGACACACTCAGTAAACTCGCTTTCAATGCTTTGGACTGACCGATGCGCGCTTGAATTTCGCATCCGTCTGGTCGTATGGCACCTCCTCAATCAGTTTTACTTGCTCATGCCATTTTTTGTTGTTGATTTATGCATTGGTGCGAAATAATTACCAGCACACTACGGCCATGTGAATTTCGCATTCAATTGACTGTAAATTCATTTGTCCGCACCGATTTATATCGAGGATTGCGCACTCGTGGGTCATTTGTTTAAAGAGCAGGGGTGGTGCGTGGTGCTTGCATACGAAAACTCGCACAGGGGCGTGATAGGTAAATGGACGGAGCAGCGACTTTGTTAAATGATAAATGTAATGCGGCATTAATGGGATTGATAAGGCTTCAAATTCCGTTAGCCCGCCACCTCGGACTGCTTGGAGCTTGCTGTGGATTGGTTTGCATCCATAAACACGTTGATAATATAATATGATGAGCTTTAGGCGAATCTAAATATATTCGAAAAATATAATGTTAAGAGAATAATAAAAGCTAACTTAATTGATTGAAAAGTATTTGCAAAGCGAATTCGGAAGTAGAATACAGTTTCAATAAGTCTAAATGAGAACGGAGCATGATGTGATGTTTAGGTTAGATTAGATGTTATTCATATTAAAGTTAAATTCGATTTTTATGAATTTAGCTATCCTTAAACTAAAAGTTTAATTCAACTTTTGTCTAGAACCCTAAAAGATTATAATCTTTCAACTAATTCCCAGGACTATTACTAACTCATCTTTCCACATCCTTGATATCACCTATGCATTAGGTTCGGGTCTTCATTAAGAGACTCCTCAAGACTAGATAACATTTACCATCTTCGACCCAAGCTTTAGAAATAGAGGTCGAATTTCTATTTCTATTATCGAAAAACTATGACAGCCTCTATGGAAAATATACGGTATGCTTAGTCTTCTAATCAAAAAGTTAAAGATATGTATAGATGAAGGAGCTCTTGAACTCATTCTGGCTGGATTTAAAAAGCGGTACTCAGCAAATGCTGAAAGTTTTGAGCAAATCAATACTTTTTACGCTTTACATGAATCAGAATAGATCTCTTTCCGAGTTACTGAAGTGATATGCGGGACAAATTACTTCGAGTACTTCAGCATATTTGCTTCTAGAGCTCCATGAGTCCTTCAAACCCCACAAAATACATATTTTGACTTACCTCTCTGGGCCCAGTTGAAATTGCCATGTAGTCCCGTCAAATACGCCTGCATCTCGAGCCCACATGCGGTGCTCACCTTGGTGCGTATCTCGGTAGGCTGCCAATAGAAGTGGTCATACAAATTGGTGATAATTTGAAAGATATTTGCAGTCTGGAGACTAGCCGCCGTTGCATTCACTTCACCCACAACTGGATCTGCACCAAAATAATGACTAATACTATTGAAATTATTGCCAACATTCTTCGGCATCTCTTCTTCTTGCTTGAGCAGCTCACGACCCTTCTTCAAAGTTTTATTCTTATGCACCTTAAAGATGTGTGGACTTATGGTGGCCACAACATTCGGTGTGGTGATAATCGGCGCAATTGTAGTGGTGGTGGTGGTGGTGGTGCTGGTGCTTACCGGTGTGGCATTCGTCGTAGGTAAACTTGTCACCTCTGTGGTGTAAACACTCAGCGTTACTTCGGTCGCCGGCACACCTGCCAATGCCACACCGCTCTCGATATCCTCAAAAGGCAGACCGCGTTCACTGTAGCTGAGCCCCGCTTCATCCGCATTACGCAGTAAATGCTTCTCCTCAGCGCTGAGGTCACCCTTCTTCACGGTCTCATGCTCGAGATCCTCCAAATCGCTTAAATTGAAGTCAAAAGTCACCGGATGCAGCTCATATTCTTTAAGCGGTCTCGGTTTTTCATAGTCGGGAAAGATCGTTTTGTCCAGCAGCGTGTAGGGTTTTTTCTTCAACGGCTTCACCGGCAAAACTTCGTGTGTATTGAGCACGAGTGGCCGTTCTGTCGCGCTGTGCAGTCCGTGCACTTCGTGTAATATGGTAATGTTGTTGCTGCTGGAGAAACGATGTGGCACGAAGTGACTTCCCGAGCTGGCGGTGTCTCCCGCTGCTGTTGTGTCGGTTTTGTTGGTACTCTTGGGCTCTGTGATGGCGTTTTGCAACGTTGGTGGGCAGCACAGTAGTGGTAGCAATAGTAGTAGCACCCTTTGTGGTTTGGAGGGAACCATGCGGTGTGTAGAAGTTATCCGATTTAGCGCTGACTTGGTCTCGAACATTCTGGTATTGGCAGTAGAGTATGTTTTGTTCTATTTTTTCTTTAGTAATTTGTAAATTTTTCGTCAATTTAATTTTTTTTTACATTTTTTGCACTGTTATTTTAAATACTTTTGCAGAGTTGCACTTTTGCTATGCGCTTTTTTTAATTCACACATTTTTATTTACTGAAAATTTCAATTGAAATACCGTTTACAGCGATATTTTTTTAAAGCACTGAAACCAATTAGTTTTGTCACATTTTCCAGTTTTTTTATTCTAAATAATTTCGCCGTTTTAGGTTCTTTCAAATATTTTCGAAATCTTTGTTTCTAATTTTTTTAATTTTTTTTTTATTTCTTGAAATTCTTTAATTTACAACACTTAAATTAATTTCGGTTTCGTTTATAATTTTTTGCACTTTCGAATTTTGTAAAATATTGAAAATAATGTCAGACAACTGTTCAGCGCTTGCGCTCAGCTGAATTAAACACTAGAAATTTTATATAAAAATTTACAAAACTAATTTTTTTTAAATTTGTAAGCTCACAGCGCCTAAAAAGAGGCTATAATTTTAACAAAAATTTAAAACTTTCTCGTTATTATGCATAATTAATTAATTTAATTTTGATAACGCAAGAACTTTATTGTTTAAAAATGATTAGTTAGTACGGCCCCTGCGGATAGGCTATATTTTTTAAAATGTTTCACAAATAGCTTAAAACATACTCTCAGCAGTATTAAACTTAATTAATATTATGCTAATATAACCAAAATTAACTAAATGTAATATTTTGAGGTTGGCAGCGCCTAAAGATAGGCTATAGATTTAACAAAATTTTTAAATTTACACATAGTCATTTAAATTAAGAATATTTATGGTGTATCATAGCAAATTTCATTTTGGCAAGGCAGGATAATTGTTGTATTCAATTTGAAACAGTGCTGCGCCTGTGGGTATGCTATAATTTTTCAAAATATTATACAAATTGTTTAGCATCCCTTAGCATCAGTAAATACAATAAATTGTGTATTAATATTTTCGAATTAAAATTTTTTGAAAATTTAGAAATTCTTACCGCCCAAATATAGGCTTTTATTTTAATATAACTTTTAAATTTCCACTTAGTAGTTTAAAGTACGAATAATTATAATGAATTATGTAGCAAATTTGATTGCGATAACGTCAGACTATTATGAGACATTATTTAGTTTTAATTAAAACTGCGCCTGTGGGTATGCTATACTTTTTTTAAATTACTTTCGAAGTCTTTGAAACGCATCAAAAAGCGGAAAGGCTATAAAGCATAAGACTACTTATGTGCTTCTTTGCCTTTTCATTCTTCTCCTCCCGTTTGTGTATATATATAAACATCCATATTTTTTCCTTCCCTCATTTATCTTCATCACACACCGCATTCGTAATTTATGAATGAAATAACCAGTTTTAGGCTTGTTTTGATGGGAGCGTCGCATGATTTAAAAGCGAAATATTAATACAAATCACAAAGGCAAAATACAACAACAACAACAAACAGAAATAAATGCCTTGACGCCAACAAAAGCAGGAAATGCCAACAGAGATGACTATAAAAGCGGCAAATCGCGTTTTGCTTTTCAGTTTTACTCTACACTTTCGATTAGATTTTAGTGGCGCCATTAGAAACAACAACAACAGCGAAATAAAGCCTCAGCAGCGCATAAACTATACCGAAAGCGTAAAAGCGAAGCCGCAGTAAAGAGCGGCAAGCGAGAAGTGCGAGTGCCAAAGTGTGAAATTATGCTGAAAGGAAAGCAAAAGTGTTGCCACACTGCGTAGCAGCCAGCAAGTCAGCTGAGACGCGCGTGTGAGGCATTCAAATAGCTTGGAGCGCATTGAAGCGCAAGAGAGTGGCCGGTGTGCCGCCGTGCGATGCGATCGACAGCGGCAGTGGCGAAAAAATCACAAATGCGTTGTAAAGAAATCACGTATAAATGCAAAAACAAGAAAAAAAAAAATAAAAATGCAATAAAAAATTGAAATTGCAACGGCACATGCTTAACCTGTTTCATTAGCTCGCAGCGAGTAGCGCTGCTTTTGCTTTTGTTTTCGTTTTCATATTCATTTCTTGCCACTTCATTTATTTTCATTTAATTTTTATTTTCATTACGTTTTTCGCATTTCACCTGGCGGCACACTTACCGCTGCAACGGTGCATAAAGCTCTTTCGCGCATTTTTGTTTTTTACTTTTCATCCTGTTCACATTCGCATGCCTGTTGCACGTGCGATTACGCGACGCTTTTATGCGATTGTGCGATTAACCTAAGTGCATTATGTAAAATAACTTCAGCGTTAGAATGCGTAATTGATTTTGTAGAAATTTAAATTATATATTTTGCAAATTTTTTATTTTAGTTTGTTTTTGAATAAATTAAAATCGAACTTTATTTTTTTTGCTCTAATATTTTTTTACTAAAATTTGAAAATTTTTTTTTTAATTTTTTTACTCCTAATTTTCAATTTATAAATTTTTTTACCTCAAAATGAAGCTTTTTGCCTCAAAATTAATTTTTTTTACTAAAAATCTAGGAAATTTAAATATATGTATTATATTTCAAGACTCTGATATGAACTATAAACAAATCTGGCGAAGTTACTGGTTCCGTTACTATTTCATAAACGAAACATCATTTCAAAATAATGTTTTGCCAGAAAATAAGTAAAAAACCGCCTTACCGCTTGATTAAAACGGATCTATATGAAATTTGTCTGCTATAGTTGTCTCGCGTGCCGACTACGAGCCACAACACAAAATCTGTAAAGCGAAATCAACTTTTTACTAACTTCGGTAAAGATTTTAAACGGAAAAACCAGTATTTTAAAATAGAATAAATAGTAGTTAAATTTGATGGAAAGAAATAAACAAGAGTTCAGGAAGAAAGACCACTCCATATAAAAGATCGTATGCGAAGTCGTTGCGAATCTTGAAAAAGGCTTACGGTGATTCAAAAGCACAAGCTTAGGAGTGCTATTAAGCCTTCAAAGACGATTAAGAGATCGTTAAACACATGCCTTCAAAGGCGGTTGAGAGATCATTGAAGACATGCCTCGTTCTGGACGACCTTTGATTTCTTCAACTGATGAAATTGTTAAAAAATTAAAGGATATGCTTTCAAAAATAGTACCGTAAACAGGTCTATTTAGATATACTTGATTGTGCGAATCCCGATCCCACGTTCATGGAAAGAATTATAACTGCCGATGAGACTTGACTTTATGAGTTTAATATGCAATGTAGTCAACAATCATTGAGAAATATTATCTTGCAAGGACGCAGGTCTTTTTTATGCTTCTATTTATGTACATTGAAGAACTGGCAACTTAAAGCGCTTAACCTTATATTTTGAATTTTCACCATTTTTGCCGAAGCGTTACTTTTTATGAACCAAAATTTAGTTCAGAATTACCATTTCCGCACGACTGGGAGTTTAGGTAATGGATGCTTACCTCACTACTGGAAACTAAGCCACTTTTTTATAGAAAGAGCTGCCAGTTGGAAAGTAGAGTGAAGTCAGTCTTCTTAGCAGCTGGTAAACTTTTCTTCGTTTTGTCCAACCTTAAAACCTTCATAATCATAATTGTCATCATCTGATTCTTCTAGCTTGCATTTTTTGTAATGCAAGTTTTTGGAATAAATTTTCTTCAAACATGAGTCTTAAAGTATTTACTATTTATATCTTTCTTTGTTACTCTTTTTCTGCTTTTCACGCTACAGTTTTCTGAGTGTTTTTGTTATAGTACCGTCAAATCCAATAAAAACGAGTTAATTTTCCTGCTTTTGTGGCAGAGCGCTTAGAAAATATAAGAGAAAAACAAAAATCAGTGCAACAACAACTATAATAAAACTACTGTGTTTCAGCTATTATTAATTGCCAATATGCTTTTGCATGTTGCATGGGGCATGTAGCATGTGGCATGTCGCTGTTGATGTCAGTCATCTTACATGTGTTGTTGTGATAGCTGTCACTGCTGTTGCTTTGCTGTTGCAATCAGAGTGCTGTCGCTTTACTCTATCCACACTGTACAAGTGGTTTTACTAGCTTCTAAAAGCTGCTGGTTCTGCTCACCGCGGCCGTGATAAGCATGTTGACCAAATGCAGACCACAAGTGTGTTGCGCCAGTGTGAAGAGGCGATAGTAAACAAAAATAAAAACAAAACGCATATTTGCAACAAAACAAAAAATTAATACCAAAATAGAGGCTGAGAAGACAGTGACACCTTCGAAGCTCCCAACTCGAAAAAGTTTTATTGTCAATGTGTCTTTATTTATGATTATTTTTTCAATGTTGTTTTCTCTCCTTTTTTTCTGGTTTTTTATTGCTAAATTATGCAATTTTACGAATTTTCTTTTTACTTTTAAATTTTATTTTATTTCTTAATTTTTGATTTATTTATTGATTTCGTGAGACTGAAAATTTCTCACTGGAATTCGAAGAGTCATTATATAATTTTTGTAAAACAACTGAAAATGTTGTATTAAAATGAATT